AGAATTTAAAGTATAATTTAAAAAAAATAGGCATGTAGACCAATGGAACAGAATAGAGAACTCAGAAATAATGTCAAATACTTACAACCAACTGATCTTTGATAAAGCAAACAAAAACATAAAATGGGGAAAGGACACCCTATTCAATAAAAGATGCTGGGATAATTGGCAAGCCACATGTGGAAGAATGAAACTGGATCCTCATCTCTCACCCCATCTGAAAGTCAACTCAAGATGAGTCAAAAACTTAAGTCTACGTCTTTAAACCATAAGAATTCCAGAAGATAACATTGGAGAAACTCTTCTAGACACTGACATATGCAAACATTTCATAAGCAAGAACCCAAAAGCAAATGAAACAAAAACAAAAATAAATACATGGGACCTAATGAAACTGAAAAGTGTCTGCACAGTAAAAAAAAATAATCAGCAGAATAAACGGGCAACCCACAGAGTGGGAGAAAATATTCACAAAGCATGCATCTGATAAAAAACTAATGTCCAGAATCTACAAGGAAGTCAAACAAATCAGTAAGAAAAAAAAATCCCATCAAAAAGTAGACAAAGGACATGAATAGGCAATTCCCAAAAGAAGATATACAAACAGCTAACAAACATATGAGAAAAATGCTCAACATCCCTAATTATCAGGGAAATTCAAATTAAAACCACAATAAGATACCACCTTACTCCTGCAACAATGGCCATTATTTAAAAATCAAAAAATAATAAATGTTGGTGTGGATGTGGTGAAAAGGGAACACTTTTACACTGGTGGTGGGAATGTAAACAGTACCACCACTGTGGAAAACAGTGTGAAGATTCCTTAAAGAACTAAAAGTAGAACTACCGTTCAATCCAGCAATCCCAGTACCCAAAGGGAAAAAAGTCAGTATGTGAAAAAGACATATGCACACACATATTTATAGCAGCACAATTCACAATTGCAAAGATATGGAACCAACATAAGTGCCTATTGACCAACAAGTAGATAAAGAAAATATAGAACATAGACACGATGGAATACTACTCAGCCATAAAACAAAATGAAATAATGGCCCATGCAACAACTTGGATGGAGTTGGCGGCCATTATTTTAAGTGAAGTAACTCAGGAATTGAAAACCAAATATTGTAATTTCTTACTAGTAAGTGGGAGCTAAGCTATGAGGACTCAAAGGTACGAGAATGATATAACGGACTTTGGATATTTGGGAGGAAGGGTGAAAGGGGATTGAGGGGTCAAAGACTATATATTGGGTACACTGTATACTGTTTGGGCGATGGGTACACCAAAACTCAGAAATCACCACTAAAGAACTTAACTATATAACCAAAAGCCACCTCTTCCCCAAAAACTAACACAATTTTGAAAATAAATATATAAAATCCTAAAAAAGGAAGAGTCTGTTCTGTCAATCTTATGATCACTATTTTAATGTTAATGCTGGTCAGTTGTGCCTGAATTCTGGGGTCAGTGGGGTGGGGAACTTATAGTGAGACATATGTGACCCCCAACTTCCCATCATGGCCTAAACTACTTCTTAAAGATTTAAAAAATTATTATTATTCCTTCTAGTCAAGAGAGGGGTTCATTCTGCTGGAGTTTTTAGGATTTTATTTTATTTTATTGCTTTTATATCCCCTCTTTTTTGTCAAGGTATGCCAGGCTTTTATTTTATCCCATATAGATGCTGAATGTGTATTATCATGTCCCAAAGTTGTGTAATCTGTCCCAGATCCATCATGGCCCTTGGTAGAACCTCTATGGCTAGGGGACTGAGAGTCAAAAGACTTAGAGCCAGCTTAATGCTCTAGGCCAGATGGGAATGGAAGAGGGTAGGAACTCATTAACCTTAAACCCTCTTTTATGCAAAATAAATGCCAAAAGCCAAAAAGCAAGGTTACAAAATTGACTTATCTATAAATTCTGTGTATTGACCTACTGCAATCTTGGCTTTTAAAATTAGCTATACGAATCACAGCATTTTGTTCATCTGTTTAGGAATCTGTGTACCATCCTTGATTTTGAGGGGCTGAATTAATTTTATTCCTCAAAATCAGCCTTTACAATCTCATATGATATTCTCTGGGCCTAGATGAATTTAATAGTTTCAAATTCTGGAGGTAAAATAAAACATACAGATTATTTAAGGTAAAGGCAAAATTGTTAAATAAATCTTAATGGTTTTGTTTACAGGCCTGTCACTGTGTTTCATGAAAATTGTTTACTCTGATTGTGGCCTTTATACAGGTCCAGAGACAAGGTTTGGTTAACCTGGTTTGACATTAGATACTTACATGAGTCAATCCCTTCTTTAGATAACATATGTGTACTAAGGAGTCAAAGTCTTGTAACTTAATAACACAGGATTAATTAACAGTACCTGATAAGAACCTTTTTCAAGGGAGCTAGAGATGGTGATAATGAAGTCCATGACCTGACTGGAAGCTGTAAAAAGATTTTATAACTTTGTGTGGTTAATTTTTATAGCTTTAATAATCCCCAGTAATTAGTCAGACTTTATTTAGGATTTAATTTTGTGGATGTTTGTTAAAAATTACAAAGGCTTAAAATATTTGATCAAAACAGAAGCACAGGTCATTGTAAAATAATAGTTACTCACTTAACCAAAGTGGTAATTAAAGGACTTTAAAGACAACACAGAAGGTTATATGGATGTAAAAACTTTAGCCCTTTTAAATCTCAAGATTTTTAAAAGCAGTTGAAAACCTAATAAAACACATAGGTATTACAAAATATTGTTTCTTAAGTCAGTTACCAAAAAGTAAAAAAAAAAACTTCTGCAACATGACTGCTTCTCTTTTTGAGAAGCCCACTTATATAATTGGTAAGTCAAACTTGATAGGAAAAAAAGTGCTTGAATTTAACAAGACACAGGTGTGTTCAGTGTTATCAGTAGAGCAGGGGAATATGTGATTCTTAGGAAGAGTATGTGTTTTCTGATTACACTGAAAATTTAAACATATAAAGAAAAGCCAAGAGTACAAAATCAAATTATACTGGAGGAAAGCATTGCTTCTCTAAACTTGCAAAATAAAACATTTTAGCATTAGGCTAATGCTAAAATTAGCCTAGTAGTTGTGGCCTCACAACAACAGTTGGAACCAGAAGAAAAAAGTTACAGGAGCTAACAAAAATTGCTGAAGGAGAAAGTTGTTATCTTAGGCTTTCTCAAGGGGAGAAAAATCTGATAGCAGCAGAACACAGAAAGGTTGAGCTGAGATATAATTGAGAAATTTTTAAAAGAAACAGATTATAAAATTAAAAGTAAAATTTCTTGCATTTTCATTAAGAGTAAATCAACACCTTAAGAAAATCTCGTTTTAATGTAGGAGACTAATCCTAAAAAGACTATTATAAATTTTTTTTAATTATAACCAACTTAATCACATGCAAAATTCCTTTCATAAATTCCCCTTCACAAAGCTTATCAGAACTTACACAGACCATCTACAACAAAGTTGGACTTTCTTACTTGTCCTAAACTTCCCTCCTTCTTAATCAGTCATTTTATTTTAGGACAGAAATTCACCATACAAGATCCTTTTTCACGCAAAATTATTCTCTTTTTTAATAACCTTCCTTACCAAAAAGTATATCTTCATATCCATAACTTTCTTTATGTCTCTCTCTCTCCCCTACTTACTGGTTCTTTCCCAACTTGTTTAAAAAGTAATCATTTTCAAGTTCATAATTTGAGTTGATCTTTAGATAACTTCTGATTTTGACAAAATCATTCTTTTTCTCAATAAGACTAGATCCCAGGAGGCTTTTCTCTCCAGTGCTATCCAGAGAGATGTCAAATTAAAAAACTCAAAGAACAAAAATCATCAAGACCAGAAAGAAAATGATAGCTATTAACTTCAGGGCATGCAAGAATAGGGTAGCATGCATCACTAGTGAGGCACATACAGAAAGTATGCAGCAGAAAAAGGGGACCAAGAAGCAGTAGGTGCTAACAAATATTTCCCTGTACCTCAAGCAGCTTATCCATCAGGGAGACACAACCCTAGACCCCTAAAGACTGAAAAAAAAAACCCTGTCTAACAGGGTGGCAGCCACCTAGATGATTCCATAACTCCAGGCTCCTCAGCAGACATGGCCCAAAGGATCCAACAACCCTAGGCAGGGGCCTGTATCCCCCAAAACCTGGGGAATATAAAGGAACAAGGGTATCTCCATGTCTCCTTGGGTTCAGCAGGCTAAGCACAGCGCAAAAAGGAAAAGGGACAAGAAAGGGAAGGGAAATAACAACAAAGGGCACCAATTCATCCATGAATTCAAAAACTTAGGGAGCAAGAAATCCTGAACTGTTTGTCAGATGTTAACATTTTATAGATAAAGCCATTCCACAATTTTAGAAACATGTTTTCCAGTATCATACACTTTCTTAATTGAAGAAAATCACCAAGTAAGTAATCCAAGGAAAGCTGTGAACCAAAATTTTAGGTAAAGTTGTCTTTAGAAGGGGGTTGGCTTTTTTAAAAAGGGCTTTTTCACCTTTTTATTCTTCAGTTTCAAATGAGTTTCTAATGTTTACATTTTAGCCAGAACTGGTTGAACTGTACAAGAAAAACAAAATCTCCAAGTAACTCTAAGCAAGTTTTATCTCAACACCAGTAGCCTAATAACAGCAGATTCAAAGCAGGCAGAGAGAAAAGAGAAACAGAGAACTTCAGATGTGGTAAGCAGATGGCAAGCATGAAAATGAAAGTAGTGAATCTCTGAGCCAGCCATATGAGGCTAGCATAGAGCTGCAGTAAAAGCAAAGGCATCAAGCTGGGAAATGATGAGAACTATAGCTTTTCCGTACCTCACAAACAGAACCAAGTGGATTAGTCCAAAGCACATAGTGGCAAAGCACTACATCCATTTTTATTATACCCCAGGGACTCTAACCTCATGGGCTCAGACTCTAACCTGAATATCAGCTTTGCCTAAACCTAATAGAGGACATCAAGATGGACCCAACTTACCAGAGGGGCCAATGAGTGCTGTACAGACCAAATTTCCTCGGTATTGGGTCTCACCTTAAGGTCCCTTCAGGTGTCCCCAGAAGATGTTGCTATAAAAGGTTCTTTTCAAGATCCAGACCCCAAGAAAAGGTTCTTGGATCTCACGCAGGAACAATTCAGGGTGAGCCTCAGAGTTCTGTGAGAAGAGATAGTTTACTGAAAGCCACTCTGTTACCCAGCAGAGCATCCTCAAAATGCAAGCAGAGGAATGCACTGTCTTTAAGTTTTTCTTATATAGACATCTTATCTATGTAAAGATTAAACTAAGCTGTGCCTATGCGCAGGTGGGCTGACAGCATGACTAAATATATTATTCTATTGATTTAAAGAAAACTATTATTGATGTTTTAGTGTGTAAGTCCATCAAAGCATAACTATAACTATATCTTGAAAGCATATATTGTTATGGGTGTTGTGACATCTGGACTTTCTGTTGTAGGAGTGTGTCCTTGCAGGCATTACCAAACTGCTTCCTTAGTGGTAAACATCTTAGGACCATAGGTCATGACTGGCAAGGAATACACCTTGCTAGTTTTAAGATAAAGCTTATTTTATTTTATTTTATTTTTGAGACAGAGTTTCGCTCTTGTTACCCAGGCTGGAGTGCAATGGCGCGATCTCGGCTCACAGCATCCTCCACCTCCTGGGTTCAGGCAATTCTCCTGCCTCAGCCTCCTGAGTAGCTGGGATTACAGGCACACGCCACCATGCCCAGCTAATTTTTTGTATTTGTAGTAGAGACGGGGTTTCACCATGTTGACCCTGATGGTCTTGATCTCTTGACCTCGTGATCCACCTGCCTCAGCCTCCCAAAGTGCTGGGATTACAGGTGTGAGCCACCACGCCCGGCCAAAGCTTATTTTAAAATGATGTCACTCTGGCTGTCCTAGGCTCCTGCTGCCCTAACATGTCCACCACTTTTCCAGCTCTCCAGTATTATTACTCCCTTTCAAGGAATGTCCAGAATAGGCAAATCAATAAAATCAGAAAACAGATCAGTGGTTGCCAGAACTAAATGTAAGAGGAATTAGCACATATGGGGCCTCTTTTGGGGTGACTGAAATGTTCTGGAATTAGCAGTGGTGATGGTTGCATAACATTGTGAGCATATTTTTAAAACATTAAGTTGTACTCCTTGAAATGGTTAAAACGGTAAATTTTATGTTGAGCAAATTTTATCTCAATTTTTTTTAAATGGGAAAAAAAGAAATTGGAAATGAACTCCAATGTAAAAGTGTGTGGGGAGAAAAAAGACAAATGGGCCGGGCATGGTGGCTCATGCCTGAAATTCCAGCACTTTGGGAGGCTGAGGTGGGCAGATCATCTGAGGTCAGGAGTTCAAGACCAGCCTGGCCAACAGGGTGAAACCCCTTCTCTACTAAAAATACAAAAATTAGCTGGGTGCCGTGGCAGGCGCCTGTAATCCCAGCTACTTGGGAGGCTGATGCAGGAGAATTGCTTTAACCTGGGAGGCGGAGGTTGCAGTGAACCGTGATTGTGCCATCGCACTCCAGCCTGTGAGACAGAGCAAAACTCTGTCTCCAAAAAAAAAAAAAAAAGACAAATGGATGAAATGCTGAGGAATTACAATCTATACATTTTACAACTCATCTACAACTTGTAAATCTATAAGCCCTGATTTACAACTTCATCAGGGCTTATAATCAAATGTCAGATACACCATAATTTTATGTACTACTATGAAAGAAAAATGCTGCCAATTAAACTATGATATGCCATTGATAGTAAGAAGCAACTGATTTCAGAGATTTTAATATGAAAATGAAAGTGTTTTAGAATCAAGGAGATACGTCATTAGATGTAGAAAATAAACAATTATTTTAAAAATAAGGAAAAAGGCATGGTTGGTGCAGAAACCCAAGGAGTTCAATTTGAAACATCTTGGGTTTCAAATGTGCTATTTTGGTATTTAAGTTGAGATTGCTGGACTATTATAAAATATTATTATTTATGCTAATATAATGGGAGATAAATTATATTTCTAAAGATATATAAAACATTGGGAATTTTGAAAGCATTTAGAAGTCCAAAATGAAAAGGTAAAAGATAAAACCATTCTCCTAAGAATTCTTTTTTTAACCATTAGAAAGAAGCCCTCACATTCATATGTCCAGGATTTACTATTCTTAAACCTCTTCTCCCTTCTCTCAAAATAATTCTTAGCAGGTACTTTGATATTTACAGAAAGGAAAAGACTATCCTTACCTTCAAAGAAGTTCATCAAAGTGCAGCATAGAAGGAGAGACCAAAAAAAGAGACAATAATGCTAGCACCAATTGTGTTTCCAAGGTCAATATTCAATGTGGCCAGCATTTAGTAATCACCTAGCATTTCGCAGGGGCTCTGAAGTACGCTCTTCAGATGTGAAATGTAAATACGATACAATCTCTACAGTTAAGGATGCTACAGGTTGGAAAGAGACTGTCAAAAAAGGTACAAATAACAGAATGTAAGACAAAATGAAGCAAAACTTATTTTCAAAGAGATTAAAAAAGGAAAAAGACTATATCTAAATAGAAAGAGTCGGGAAGGCAAGATAGGAACCTGGAGACACACCTTAAGGAGATGTAAGGGGCTAGTGGGCCCAGATGGCCACAGTAGATGTTCCAATCAGAGCAAACTGGAAAAAAAGGCATGCATTGTATTGGGGAAAACAGTTTCAATAGAACAAAAAGATGAAAATCAAATGAGTTAAGAGTGAAATGTGGTTAGTGAAAAAGTGGAAACAAAGAGTATAAATTATGCTTTCAAAAAGTTTAATAGAACAACTTAAATATTCAAGAGATAGTGGAATACTAGGGGACAATTAAAAGAAACAATGTAGATAATGAAAATACACTGCCAAGGAAAGATGGTAAAAATACCTTGTTAAATTTCTTAAAACATATGGAACACAGAATACCTGCATGCATGTAATATCAAGCTTCAAGATATGTAAAGTAACAAAAAGCACTGTCAGAAATTAACAATTCATAATAATGATGTATTGTCTCTTTTTATTTTTAGTTATTTAAAATAATTTTATTTGTTCATTTTTAGTTTTGATTTTAATACGTACAAAAAGAACTGTACCTATTTATGAAGTACATGCGATACTTAATACACGTACTCAATGTGTAACAATGAAATCAGAGTAATCATAATGATTCTAAACATCTCTCAGTAGTTAATAGAGTAAGCACAACAAAATCAGTTTGAGCTGACTCCAGTACAAGACTGGTGCTTATCCTTATCAATAATCAGATCAATACAAATTAAAAACACAATTAGATATCTTTATACACTACCAGATTAAGAAAATTTTAAAAGTCTGCTAATTCCAAGCATGGATGAGGATATGGAGCAATAAGGACTCTTATATACTGCTGCTCTGGTAGGTGAAGCCATTCTGTAAATTTCCTTGGCCCTGCCTATCAAAGTTGAAGACTTTAATTCCACTCCTAGTCAAAATATTTAACAACCAGTACAGACAGGACACTCCATTTCTCACAAATGCCCATATATATGTGGTTCCAGGGGAGCTGTGACTCACAGCACTGATGGCCACAGCCGCAGAAGGTCAGATGGACACTAGGTATTTGTCTGCTGGGGTTCCAGGAACTACTCTGTTTGCGGGGACAGCCAGAGACCCAGAGCTATCAGGGCTGATTGAGGGCTCACACACATATCAGGAAAGACAGAGAGTAGCTCCTTAGCAGTGACTAAATAGGAGCCTCAGGGTTGCAACAGAGTTGAAGGGGAACTTGGGGATTCAGGACAGTGACTTTTTACCAAGCTGAATAAAAATATTTCAATATTTTGATAATTGGCATCGCCTTCATAGTGGGTACTGGCTGAATATCAGTTCTGAATTTTCCTTAAGGCAACTCAAGCACATGTGCAACCAAGTACATGAAAATAATTTGTATGTAACCACTAATTCATCATAAGCAAAGAGGAAAAAAAACAGCAAAAATAAAAATGGGTGAGTAAATTATGGTCAATTCATACAGTGGAATCTTCTAGAGTAATGAAAATAAGCTACAGCCACAGGCAATGTGAATGATTCTCACACAGAGTAGAGGGGAGAAAAAAAAGACGTGAAAGAATACATACACTATGAGTCCATAAAAAGACTTTGCTAGATTAAACTATTGTATAGAGAAGCATAAATAGGGTAGTAAACCACTAAATATGCAAATAAATTATTATCAGGTTGTGAAGGAGAGAGATAGTTAAGTTAAATGGGGATTCTAAGGAGTGAAAATTTCCTTTGCTTCATAATTATTTGTTACGTCATTTCTATATGTTTAATGGGCTTTTCTCTGTTATTTTATATTTTTCAAAGAAACAAACAAAGAATTTAAAAAATCTTGGAGCTCACTGGGAGCAAAGGGGTTTGCAGCTGAAGTCCAATAGTACAAAGGACATGGTCAGAGGCTGTCAGAGTTGTGAATTACAGTAACAAAGAAGGAAAGAAAGTGATTGGAGAATAAAGCAAAGTGAGTGGTATTTATTCAAAGACAACTCATCATTATAGGACACAGAGCTCCCTGGGTAGGAGTGGAAGCCTTCTTAACTCAGAAAGAACCTTCCAACACAAGATTCTCAAAGAAAAATGAGCACCAAGGGCAAAGTAAGCAAATAATCTGTGTCTTTGTTCAGTTTGTGCTTTTCTGTGTCTTTGTATATATGGCTACAAGAAGCTTCCTTTAGGAACTCAGGAAGCAGTGACTTACAGTTGATCAACAGGATATGAGTGGCCCCTATGCCAGGAATTTATTCTAGGGAAATTAACTGTGGATTGCCAAAACGTTTATTACAAGAGTGTTCAGTTAATATTAATATTATTTAAATGGCCAAAAGTAGAGAGATTTAAGTAACTATGCTGTAACCATAAAGTAGAATATGCATATGTTACAAATAATGTTGCAGGAGAATATGGGAAAATATTCACAGCATATTAACAAGTAGAAAAAGTATATTACAAAATACTATACACAATATATCTTATTTGGAGATACTCAAAGAATTTGCATCAAAAGCATAAAGTGAGTGATGAAAGTACAGATGAATTTTTTTTATCTTTAAAAACTTGATAGGCCTTAGGATTTTGAAACTTCCTATAATTAATATTATACTTCATTTGAAGTAAAATAAATAATATTCAAAAACATAATTCAAAATTATGTAACTATTGAAAAACAGATATTCTTGTGGTAAAAGACTTTGGGAAGGGTATACCAAAAGTAAGCATAGTAGTGTTAGAAGATTATAGGTTGGTTTCTTTCTACTTTCTTTCAATGTTGCTTATATTTGAAATTAAAAATATAATTTGAGCCTAGAAAAAATTGGGATTATGGAATCCTAAATACTTAATTTTGTTCATGTATCTTTGCCCAAATTCTTGCAAAGAGACCAAATTTTTATTTAATTTCTATCCTACTGATAAATTTAGTAATGAAGTAAGTCTCATTTCTCAGACTTTTAATGAATTCTCTGGGGATATTGTTCAAATGCAGATTTTGATTTAGTGGATTTGAGGCAGGGATTTCATCTCAAACAAATTCCCAAGTGATGTGAATAAATGCTTGTTCAAGGACCACACTTCAAGTAGCAAAGATGCAAAACACATTTATTCTCTAGCAATTATCTAACTCAGGTAATTCAGAGCTGGTTTTAAACAGTTCAGTCGATAGATTTTTATAGGCCATCTACCCTATTCAAACTCTAAACTCTTTATAGAGTTTCCTCTCTGCTATGGAGGGGAAAAGTTGAGGCATTATACTAAGGTAAACTTTAATACACCTTTTTTTTTTCAAGAAATAAAAAATGTAATGACTATAATGTAGAATTTAACTTATTTTTAATTAAAACCCCTTGTCTTTAAAATAATACCTATAAGATCCACTCAAAAACTCTTTAACTCCTTGTCATAAAATTGTAGTATCAATATATTCTGAGTTTTTCTCATGATATCCTCTCTCCCACCCCAACCCTGTAAAAATCTCCATCTCTATCTCTTTCTTCCTTTTCTTTCTCTCTTTCAGGTTATTAAATGTAAAGCAGCCATCGCCTGGGAAGCAGGCAAGCCCCTCTGCATTGAAGAGGTTGAAGTAGCTCCCCCCAAGGCTCATGAAATTCGAATTCAGGTGAGTGGAGACTTTCCCTGGGTGGGAAGAGTCAGGGCCCTAAGTGAAGACCGGGCTTCTGTCCTATGTGCTATGACTCAGAGGCTTTGGAGTTTCTAGTACAGGGAAGTTGTATTTTTAGGTTCAGTTTCAAATAGACATTATCCCAAAAAGAAATAAATTATCTGTTATTTTAGTTATTTTCGAATGATGGGCTTAAAATTTAATTGATCTTAACATTAATAATTTATCCTAAAAATCAGACAAAGAATTCACTTTGGATTTGAACTAGTTAGGTTTTCTTTTTGTTTTCCAATTGCCAATTATTTGAAACTGTTATTAAAAGGAAGATAGAAATATGATCTAAAAGAAGAAAGAAGAAAAGCCTGACGTGCTGCCCAGGGTCCTGGGTACCCAGAGAAAGGGACAGGAGTAGGTCACAGGGAGAAGAGACTGTACAGAATGGAGTGAGATCACTGATGGCAAGTTTGGACCATTTCTCCATTTTTCCCAAGCTGAATAGACATATTTTCCCTGAGGACCCCCACATTAGGTGTCTGTACATGAGAGTGAATGGGACATCCTCATGGACAGAATCTTGAAGAACAGTAATATAGGTATGTATTGGTAATTAATTTAGACAATCCTTTTTTGATATTGCTCTTTCAACTGTAAAAGGTATATTACCTCAACTTCATTTCAGCAAAATTTGAATAAGCCCTATTACCTTTTTTTTTCCTCTCCTGGAGGCAATAATTGCCAATTCGTTTTCTCTTATGATTTTCTGACAACAATAAAAGATAGAAAACAAAGATGCATTATAAGAAGAAAATAATCTAACCTAGTATATTTTTATGTATTCTTTTTTTCAAAAGGGGATTCTTTTATTGAGTTCTAGAAGTGCTATAAAGTTTCAAAATGATATCATGCCTAATATTATATGTAACATCCAACTCAATAATTCAAGTCTGTGATTGCCTTGTAGATCATTGCTACTTCCCTTTGCCATACTGATGCCACTGTTATCGATTCTAAATTTGAGGGCCTAGCCTTCCCCGTGATCGTTGGCCATGAGGCTGCAGGGATTGTGGAAAGTATTGGGCCAGAAGTGACCAACTTCAAACCAGGTATTTTATTTTATTCAGATAAAATATAAACGTCACAATATTTCAGACATAATTCCTGATAGAGTCCTGGCTTGGAATTCTATATATGATCTCTATTTACAAAGGGGGACCATCTTTTCCAAAGTAAAACTGAGACACACAATCTATCACAGTCTAGCAATGGGACAGAATATTTGAAATCAAAACTGTCTAATAAAATCGGGAAACGTGTCACTTTGTTTACATATATCACTGAGAAATTGTCCTCTGAAGCAAAGTTTCAAGGTTACCTTAAACTGAGACTTTCATGTTTAACAAATGACACTTTATAAAAGAACAAGATAATGTCCTTTGCAGAAATATGGATGAAGCTGTCAGACATTTGCCTTAGCAAACTATTGCAGTAACAGAAAACCAAATACTGAATGTTCTCACTTATAAGTGGAAGCTAAATAATGGAACACATGGACACAAATAGGGCAGTGACAGACACTGGGACCTACTTAAGGATGAAGGATGGAGGGAAGGAGAGGCTCAGAAAAATAACTGTCAGGCAATATGCTTAGTACCCGGATGACAAAATTATCTGTACACCACCCCCATGATACAAGTATACCGATATAATGAACCTGCACATATACCCCTAAATATAAAATTAAAGGTGTATTTTTTAAATTGTACTTTCGGTTCTGGGGGACATGTGCAGATCATGCAGGATTGTTGCATAGGTACACACATGGAAATGTGGTTTGCTGCCTCCATCCCCATCACCTATATCTGCATTTCTCCCCATGTTATCCCTCCCCAACCTCCCCACCCCACCCCGCACTGTCCCTCCCTTGGTCTCCTCCAACAGACCCCAGTGTGTGATGCTCCCATCCCTGTGTCCATGTGTTCTCATTGTTCAACACCCACCTATGAGTGAGAACATGCAGTGTTTGATTTTCTGTTCTTGTGTCAGCTTGCTGAGAATGATGGTTTCCAGATTCATCCCTGTCCCTACAAAGGACACAAACTTATTGTTTTTTATGGTTGCATAGTATTCTATGGTATATATGTGCCACATTTTCCTTCTCCAGTCTGTCGTTCATGCACATTTGGGTTGGTTCAAGGTCTTTGCTTTTGTAAACAGTGCCACTATGAACATACATGTGCATGTGTCTTCATAATAGAATGACTTATAAGCCTTTGGATATATACCCAGTAATGGGATTGCTGGGGCAAATGGAATTTCTATTTCTAAGTCCTTGAGGAATCGCCACACTGCCTTCCACAATGGTTGAACTAGTTTACACTCCCACCAACAGTGTAAAAGTGTTCCTATTTCTCAACATCCTCTCCAGCATCTGTTGTCTCCAGATTTTTTAATGATCACCATTCTTTTATATGTATATATTTATATATATATTTATACATATATTTATATATATTTATACATTTATATTTATATATATATTATTGCATTTTACGTTCTGGGGTACATGTGAAGAACATGCAGGATTGTTGCATAGGTACATACATGGCAATGTGGTTTGCTGCCTTCATCCCCATCGACTATATCTGGCATTTCTCCCCATGTTATAGCTCCCCAACTCTCTACCCCCCACTGTCCCTCTCCTAGTCCCCTCCTACAGACCTCAGTGTGTGATGCACCCCTGCCTCGTGTCCATGTGTTCTCATTGTTCAACACCCATCTATGAGTGAGAACATGCAGTGTTTGATTTTTTGTTTTTGTGTCAGTTTGCTGAGAATGATGGTTTCCAGATTCATCCATGTCACTACAAAGGACATAAACTCGTCATTTTTTATGGCTGCATAATATTCCATGGTGTATATGTGCCACATTTTCCCTGTCCAGTCTATTATCAATGGGCATGTCGGTTGGTTCCAAGTCTTTCCTATTATAAACAGTGCTGCAATGAACATTCGTCTGCATGTGTCCTAATAGTAGAACGATTTATACTTCTTTGGATATATAACCAGTAATGGGATTTCTGGGTCAAATGGAATTTCTATTTCTAGGTGCTTGAGGAATCACCACACTGTCTTCCACAATGGTTGAACTAATTTACACTCCCACCAACAGTGTATAAGTGTTCTTATTTCTCCATATCCTCTCCAGCATCTGTTGTCTCCAGGTTTTAAAATGATCACCATTCCAACTGGTGTGAGATGGTATCTCAATGTAGTTTTGATTTGCATTTCTCTAATGACCAGTGATGTTGAGCATTTTTTCATATGTTTGTTGACCTCATATATGTCTTCTTTTGAAAAATGTCTGGTCATATCCTTCACCCACTTTTGAATGGGTTTGTTTGTTTTTTTCTTGTAAATTTGTTTTAGTTATTTGTAGATTCTGGATATAAGTCCTTTGTCAGATGGGTAGACTGCAAAAATTTTTTCCCATTACATTGGTTGCAGGTTCACTCTAATGAATATTGCTTTTGCTGTGCAGAAGCTCTGGAATTTAATTAGTTCCCATTTGTCTATTTTGGCTTTTGTTGTCAGTGCTTTTGGTGTTTTAGCCATGAAGTTCTTGCCTATGCCTATGTCCTGAATGGTTTTGCCTAGGTTTTCTTTGAGGGTTTTTATGGTGTTAGGTCTTATGTTTAAATCTTTCATCCATCTGGAGTTAATTTTAGTGTAAGGTGTCAGGAAGGGGTCCAGTTTCTGCTTTCTGCACATGGCTAGCCAGTGTTCCCAACACCATTTATTAAACAGGGGATCCTTTCCTCTTTGCTTGTTTTTGTCAGGTTTGTCAAAGATCAGATGGTTGTCAATGTGTGGTGTTGCCTCTGAGGCCTCTGTTCTATTCCATTGGTCTATATCTCTGTTTTGGTAGCAGTACCATGCTGGTTTGATTACTGTAGCCTTGTAGTATAGTTTGAAATCAGGTAGTGTGAGGCCTCCAGCTTTGTTCTTTTTGCTTAGGATTTTCTTGACTATGCGGGCTCTCCTTTGGTTCCATATGAAGTTTAAGGTGGTTTTTTTCCAGTTCTGTGAATAAGGTCATCGGTAGCTTGATGGGATAGTGTTGAATTTATAAATTATTTTAGGCAGTATGGCCATTTTCACAATATTGATTCTTCCTAAGCACGAGCATAGAATGTTTCTCCATCTGTTTGTGTCCTCTCTTATTTTGTTGAACAATGGTTTGTAGTTCTCCTTGAAGAGGTCCTTTACATCCTTTGTTAGTTGTATTCCTAGGTATTTTATTCTCTTTGTAGCAATTGTGAATGGGAGTTTGCACATGATTTGGCTCTCTGTTAGTTTGTTATCAGTGTATAGAAATGCTTGTGATTTTGCACAATGATTTTGAATCCTGAGACTTTGCTTAAGTTGCTTTTCAGTTTAAGGAGATTTTGGGCTGAGACGATATGGTCTTCTAAATATACAATCATGTCATCTGCAAATAGAGACAATTTGACTTCCTCTTTTCCTAATTGAATACACTTTATTTCATTTTATTTTTTCCTTGCATAATTGTTCTGGCTAGAACTTCCAATACTATATTGAATAGGAGTGGTGAAAGAGGGCATCCTTGTCTAGTGCCGGATTTCAAAGGGAATGTTTCCAGTTTTTGCCCATTCACGATGACATTGGCTGTAGGTTTGTCATAAATAGCTTTTATTATTTTGAGATATGTTCCTACAATACCTAGTTTATTGAGAATTTTTAGCATAAATGGCTGTTGAATTTTGGTGAAGGCCTTTTCTGCATTTTTTGAGATAATCATGTGGTTTTTGTCTTTATTTCTGTTTATGTGGTGGATTACATTTATAGATTTGCGTATGTTGAACGAGCCTTGTATCCCTGGCATGAAGCCTAAGTGATTGTGATGGATAAGCTTCTTAATGTGCTGTTGCAATCAGTTTCCCAGTATTTGATTGAAGATTTTTGCGTCTATGTTCATCATGGATATTGGCCTGAAGTTTTCTTTTCTTGTTGAGTCTCTGCCGGGTTTTGGTATCAAGATGATGCTGGTCTCATATAATAATTTCGGAAGGATTCCGTCTTTGTGTATTGTTTGGAATAGTTTAAGAAGGAATGGTACCAGCTCCTTTTTGTATGTCTGGTAGAATTCAGCTGTGAAACCGTCTGAACCTGGACTTTTTTGGTTGCGAGGCTATTAATTGCTGCCTCATCTTCAGCCCTTGTTATTGTTCTATTCAAGGTTTCAACTTCTTCCTGGTTTAGGCTTGGGAGGGTGCAAGTGTCCAGGAATTTATCCATTTCTTTCAGCTTTATTGGTTTGTGTACTTAGAGTTGTTTGCAGTAATCTCTGATTGTAATTTGTGGAGTCAGTGGTGATATCCCCTTGATCGTTTTTTATTGCATCTATTTGATTCTTCTCCCTTTTTGTTTTTATTAATCTGACTCGTGGTCTATTTTGTTATCTTTCCAAAAAAAACCAGCTTCTGGATTTATTGATTTTTGGAAGGGTTTTTTTGTGTCTCTATCTCCTTCAGTTCTGCTTTGATCTTAGTTATTGCTTGTCTTCTGCCAGCTTTTGAGTTTGTTTTATCTTGCTCCTCTAGCTCTTTCAATTTTGATGATAGGGTGTTGATTTTAGATCTTTCCTCTCTTCTCATGTGGGCATTTATTGCTATAAATTTCCATCTAGACACTGCTTTAAATGTGTCCCAGAGATTCTGGTATGTTGTTTCTTCATTCTCATTGGTTTCAAAGAACATCTTTATTTCTACCTTCATTTCATTGTTTATCCAGTCAACATTCAGGAGCCAGTTGTTCAGTTTCCATGAAGTCATGCGGTTCTGAGCCAGTTTCTGAATTCTGAGTTCTAATTTGATTGTCCTGTAGTTTGAAAGACTATTTGTTATGATTTCTGTTCTTTTGCATTTGCTGAGGGGTGCTTTACTTCCAATCGTGGTCAATTTTAGAGTAGGTGCCTTGTGGTGCTAAGAAGAATGTATATTCTGTGGATTTGGGGTGGAGATTTCTGTAGATGTCTATTAGGTCCACTTGGTCCAGATCTGAGTTAAAGTCCTTGATATTCTTGTTAATTTTCTATCTTGTTGATCTGTCTAATATTGACAGTGGAATGTTGAAGTCTCCCACTATTATTGTGTGGGAGTCTACATCTCTTTGTAGGTCATTAAAACTTGCTTTATATACCTCTGTGCTCCTGTATTGGGTGTATATATATATATATTTAGGATCGTTAGTTCTTCTTGATGCATTGATCCTTTTACTATTATGTAATGCCCTTCTTTGTCTCTTTTGATCTTTGTTGGTTTAAAGTCCATTTTATCAGAGACTAGGATTGCAACTCCTGCTTTTTTTTTGCTCTCCATTTGGTTGATAAATCTTCCTCTATCCCTTTATTTTGAGCCTATGTGTGTCCTTGCATGTGAGATGGGTTTCCTGAATACAGCACACTGATGATTTTTGACTTTTTATCCAGTTTGCCAGTCCGTGTCTTTTGATTGGGGCATTGACACATTTTCTTCATTTTGTTGATGATCTTTACCATTTGGCACATTTTTGGAGTAACTGGTACTGGTTGTTCCTTTTCTTGTTTAGTGCTACTTTCTGGAGCTCTTGGAAGGCAGGCCTGGTGGTGACAAAATCTCTCAGCAACTGTTTGTCCGTAAAGGATTTTCTTTCTCCTTTGCTTATGAACCTTAGTTTGGTTGGATATGAAATTCTAGGTTGAAAGTTCTTTTCTTTAAGAATGTTGAATATTGGCCCCCACTCTCTTCTGGCTTGTAGGGGTTCCACGGAGAGATCCATTGTGAGTCTGAGAGGCTTCCCTTTATGAGTAACCTGACTTTTTTCTCTTGCTGCCCTTAGTGTTTTGTCCTTCATTTCAACCCTGGTGAATCTGACGATTATGTGCCTTGGGGTTGCTCTTCTTGAGGAATATCTTTGTGGTGTTCTCTGTATTTCTTGGACTTGAATGTTGGCCTGCCTTGCTAGGTTGGGAAAGTTCTCCTGGATAATATCCTGAAAAGTGTTTTCCAGCTTGCATTCATTCTCCCTGTCATAGTCACATACACCTATCAAACATAGATTAGGTCTTTTCACATAATCCCATATTTCTTGGAGGCTTTGTTCATTTCTCTTTACTCTTTTTTCTCTATTCTTACCTTCTCATTTTATTTCATTGAGTTGATCTTCAATCTCTGATATCCTTTCTTCTGCTTGGTCCATTTGGCTATTGAAACTTGTGTATGCTTCATGAAGTTCTTGTGCTGTGTTTTTCAGCTCCATCGAGTTGTTTATATTCTTCTCTAAGCTGTTTATTCTAGTTAGCATCTCATCTAACCTTTTTCTAGGTTCTTAATTTCTTTGAATTGGATTAGCACATGTTCTTTTAGCTCTGAGAAGTTTGTTATTACCCACCTTCTGAAGCCCGTTTTTGTCAATTCATCAGATTCATTCTCCTTCCATCTTCGATCCCTAGCTGGTGAGGAGTTGTGATCCCTTCGAGGAGAGGTGTTATGGTTTTTGATGTTTTCATCCTTTTTGCACTGGTTTCTTCCCATCTTAGTGGCTTTATCTACCTGTGGTCTTTGTAGTTGGTGACTTCTGGATGGGGTCTCTGAGTGGACATCCTCTTTGTTGATGTTGAAGGTATTTCTTTCTGCTTCTTAATTTTCCTTCTAACAGTCAGGCCCCTCTGCTGCAGGACTGCTGGAGGTCCAATCTGGACCCTGCTCACCTGGGGATCACCCACGGGAGCTGCAGAACAGCAAGTTACTGCTGGTTTCTTCCTCTTATACTCATCCTAGAAGAGTACCTCCCAGATATCAGCCTGAGTTCTCCTTTATGAGGTGTCTCTTTGGGTATATGCGGGTCAGGGAGCTGCTTGAGGAGACAGTCTGTCCCTTATAGGAGCTCAAGTGCTGTGCTGGGAGCCTTGTTGTTTTGTGCAAAGCTGCTGGGCAGGTACCTTTAAGTCTGCTGCAGCTGAACTCATAACCATTTGTTTTCTTAGGTCCTCTGTCCTAGGAAGGTCGGCTTTATTTATAAGTTCCTGTCATGCTGCTGCATTTTTTCATAGATCCCTTGCCCTGCACAGAGTAATCTAGTCACAGTCTGCCAGCAGAGTCATTGCTGAGCTGCCGCAGGCTCTGCCTAGCTGCTGTGTGAATAGCAGTAGTGGCAGACTACCTCGGTAGTGTGGGATGCCCTTCCCCCCACTGAGCTGGACCGTCCTGGGTCCAGCTGTGCTTGCTGCTAAACTCTCAATCCAGAGAGTTTCAGATTGCTTGTTTTGTGGGGGTGGTACCTGGGGAGCCAGATTGCCTGACTTCCTGTCTCAGCCCCTTCCCTTTCAGTTGAATGGGTGACTCTGTCTCCCAGGCATTCCAGGTGCTAGTCAAAATGGCCACCCAGACCTGTGTGAGTTTCTGTGTGCCAACTCGGCACCAGCTGAAACTGCCACACTGAAAACTCCTGGCACGTTTTGGCCTGGGAATCTCCTGGTCTGTGGGCAGTGAAAACTTGTTTGGAAATGCAGTGAGCACTCACCCTCTGCACTGTTCTCACTGGGAACTGCACTCCAGAGCTGTTTCTATTAGGCCATCTTGGATCTTGAATTGGTGTTGTTTCTCTTAAGACAAAGTCTCTTGGGTTTCATCAGACAGGAAAAGAAAAAAGAAAAAAAAAAGACAAAGTCTTGTTCTGTCACCCAGGCTGGAGTGCAGTGGCACAATCTTGGCTCACTGCAGCCTCCGCCTTCTGGTTTCAAGCAATTCTCCTGCCTCAGCTTCCCAAGTAGCTGAGACTACAGGCACATGCCACCACACTTGGCTTTTGTATTTTTAGGAGAGATGGGGTTTTACCATGTTGGCCAAGCTGGTCTTGAACTCCTGACCTCCAGTGATCCAACCACCTTGGCATCCCAAAGTGCTGGGATTACAGGCATGAGCTACTGCGCCAGGCCTTTTTTAATTTTTTGAGACAGAGTCTCACTCTGTTGCCCAGGCTGGAGTGCTGTGGGACGATCTTGAACTCCACCACCCAATTCTTATGCCTTAGCCTCTGGAGTAGCTGGGATTACAGCCATGAGCCACCACATCCAGTTAATTTTTGTATTTTTAGTAGAGATAGGGTTTCACCATATTGGCTGCCCCCCTTGACCTCCCAAAGCACTGGGATTACAGGTATGAGCCACTGCATCTTCCATAAAATAAAAGGTTTTTAATGACATGTTATAATAACTTTTATATAAAACAGCAAACTATTTTATTATTAACAGCAAACTAAAGAATGAGGACTTAAAGGTAGCTTAATTGAGAAATACATATGCTAATGTTAGCTGAAGTGTCTTTTTGGAAGTTTGCAAGATAAAACTAATACCTAAATGAAGCACCCTAATAGCTGAAATTATTTACTCCATATTTTACAACAGGTCTTCCAGATACTGGAATATGGGCTATATAATCCTCATTTGTCAGGCCAGATGAACCATGCCACTCTTTTCTCTTTTAATGAGAATGTTCCAAACTTAGAGGTATATTAGTATCTTTCCATTTCAAAAAAGATTGTACAAAAAATTGCTTCCCAAAATTTTGTGTCAATGAAGGAATCTGGCCAATATAATCCCCTTAGCCCCAGTTCTGTCACTTACCAGTTATGTGATATTGGCCAGTTATGTCACTTTTCTGTGATTCAGTTCAGATTTCTGTTTTCTATAGTGTGAATAAAAATAGGCCTCATCTCAAAAAGTTCTTCTGAGAATTAAGTTTTGAAATAATACATATAAATAGTTATAATGGTGTGTGGTATGTATTAAATGTTGAACAAATGTGAATTAACATCATTAGATGGCAGGCATGAAAGAAACCACTATTAAATTGGAATTTAGTAAAAAGTAGAAAAATGTGGAATTTGAGAGTCAATCTAAATGGTGAAACATGGTAATGATACAAAGTTTAAACATAGCCTGTAATTGTTCTGTTCTCCTATTATATAAGGATGTTATGTTTGGAAATGCAATAAACAATAGTCATGATGCAGAGAGTTGCAATGACAGCAAAGTCCCAGAGTTCTGTGTCTGATGATATCAACACAGATTTGTTGCTTGACTGCCCAGCAGAGTAATTAAAGAAAATACAATATATGCAATCCTTGGGGGAATCTGCAGTCTTATAAGATAATGAAATATTATGGCCACCTACATTTTCTGCTGAATATAAAATGTATACTATAAAGAAACTGTGCTTTCCACTGAATTATCTCGTAGAAGTTGTAAGTAACATCTTAGGCACCATCCAACATATGACCTTTCTTTCTAGGTGACAAAGTAATTCCACTTTATGCACCTCATTGTAGAAAATGCAAGTTTTGTCTGAGTCCACTCACAAATTTTTGTGGAAAAATCAGGTAAGCAGTCTACACAGTTAATATAAATGCAAATGAATATTTTCAAATATTTTTGAAAATTGACATTACCTAAATGGCCTTGAAGAGATGGAACCCTTCCCCCACAAATTCTAATCCTAGGTATGTACAAGATACTATTGCAAGTGCACACAAAGAAACATGTGCTGGAATGTTCATTGCAACATTGTTTATTATAGTAAGCAATTTAAAACAGCACAAATGTCCATCATAAGAGAATGAATTTTAAAACTGCTATGTAGTAGCACAATGGACTACTATACAAAAATGAAAATGGCTAAACTTGAGCCACATGTATTAACATAAAACAATCTCATACACATAATGTTAAGGGAAAGAAGCAAGTTGCAAGATGTCATAAAAATACATTTTTTTATGGTTATATGTGTATGTAGTAAAAGATAAATAAATCACTGAAATACTAAATGCCAAATTCAGAATAATAGCTACTTCTACAAGGGTGAGAGAGGGATACAAAAAGGCACAGTAAAGTAATTTACTCCAAGGCCACATAGTTATAAGTCTTAGAGCCAGGTTTTTAACCCAGGCAGTATGGCTCCAGAATCTAAAATCTAAATCATCTTGTCGTTACTTTACTGAGACTACAGAAGGATCCTTTGTCCTTAACACTAATTGAAAGCAGTTATTTAAGAAGCTAAAACTGTACTACTTTTACATCTATTACTGTGCCTTAATTCTTTCATCTATGAGGATCAAAATAATGTCTGCTTCATAGATTTGTTCTAGGTAGTCAAAGAACTAATTTTTTTTTGCAAAGCTTTAATGACATAATTGATTTAGACAATGACCATAAATTCTTTCTAATAAATGCCATAAAAGAGAGATAATTAGATATTCCAAATGAAATACACACTACCACCTATAATATAGTATTACCACAAAAATATAAAACCTGAATCAGATCAAGTGTTTAGACCAAAATTACTAATATAAGAGGGGACACAGGAACAGAGAAATATGTTCAACCAGATTACAGGAATGTGATGAGCAAAATTCAGAATGAGGACAAACAATTCAATTTCTTCAACAAATAAACTGCAAGAGGAAAAAGAGAGAGAGAAGGGATCTATAATTTAAGAGACAACAAATATGTAAACCTAAAAGAATCCTTTAGAGATATATGCTAATGTGTTTACAGATGAAATAGTGGTATCTGGGATGTGCTTCAAAATATTGCAATGTTGGGGAGGGAGCAGGCATTATGGAGGAATAATAGATGAAACTTGATTGACCATGAGTTGATGGTTACTGGAGCTGGGGCATGGATACACAGGGGATTTTATGATATTCCTTCTACTTTTATGCATGTTCAAATGTTCCATATTAAAAAAATTTTTAAGTTAATACCCATAAAGCCCTTAAAAGCATTTCTGGAACACAAAAAAAATTCAATAAAAGTTTGTTCCCTGCACTCCAGTCTGAGTGACAAAACGAGGCCCTGTCACTTTGCAAAAACAATTATTGTTACCTTTAAAATACTTCCAAGAAATTACATTTTGTGAAAAGTCATGTTGCTCCCCTAATTTTTCTGTCTTGTAAATTGTCATGACAAATATATAATGCTCAATATATTTTGTAGGAAAATGATCAGTGTTCCATTTATTATACTTTCTCTTTTTTGATATCTCTTTTTAAAATTTTCTAGTAATCTTAAAAATCCTGCTACTCATCAACAACTAATGGAAGACAAAACCAGCAGGTTTACCTGCAAAGGAAAACCAATTTACCATTTCTTGGGAATCAGTACATTCTCTCAGTACACTGTGGTGTCAGATATTAATCTTGTCAAAATAGATGATGATGCGAATTTAGAGAGAGTTTGTCTGCTTGGATGTGGTTTTTCAACTGGCTACGGGGCTGCAATCAACAATGCCAAGGTAAATGGTAAAACAGTTTGTGAAAAACAGCAGTTACTAGGAGGTGGGATACAGATGAACTAGAGTTAGTTATCTTCAAACATTGGCTGTGTCATTTATTAATTACCTCTGTGATACAAAGACTTATGAGGATAATAGAATCATATTTTATACCTAAAACATATGGCCCAAGAGCCTGCATATAATTGGCTCCCAGCGTATGTTCTTATGCTATACTAACATATTAGGTTATAGATCATCCCTGATTTAAATATAGCCTGTTTAAATACATCTCCTAAAGATGAATGCTCATCCTAGGACAGCTGACCCAGTCAAAGGGCAAGAAAAATGACAGAAACTCATTTTCATCTTCACACAACCACCCATCTTCTCCCTGATGCTACAGATTTCTATCCTTCAATCAGTAGTAATTCATTTCTGCTTCCCATCCTGTCCCTTTGTGGCTTCAAAGGAGGGTCTCTGGTAGCAGCCCTGATGTTGACCAGATGTGTCCCTAGAATCCTTATTAAAATTTAGAAACTCTTACAAACCATCTGAGCTAGAACTAGAGAGATATCAAAGAGAAATCTCATAATTGGACATCTCAAACAACCTCCTTATTTGAACCTCCCTGACATCAATCTTTATTCCTGACTCAAAACTGCAAAATGGAGCCAGAGTGGCCTTTCAAACAACAAGTCTGAAGATTTCATTTTTCCTGCATTCTTTCATTTTCCCCTCAGTGTGAAGTTAAATTTCGCAGTAGCCTATGGTGACTTCCTACTTCTCCTTTTCCACCATGCACTGCTCCATTGGCTCCACTCTGAGTCTCCAGGCTTCAGTCACTGTGATCTGTGGGCTTTCCACACTTGGCTTCCAGCAACAGTGTAGAGAAGACTCCCCTACCTCCTTCAGGCTGACTCCAATTAGATATCACTTCCTCTCAGAGATCTACTTCAGGCTCTCAGGCATGCTTTGAGTGTTCCTCTCAGTTTTCCCCCAATTTTTTTTTCTTTTTTGAGACAGGGGCTCACTCTGTTCCCCATGCTGGAGTGCACTGGCATGATCATGGCTCACTGCAGCCTTGAACTCCTGGGCTCAAGCAAACTTCCCACTTCAGCCCTCCAAGTAGCTGAAATTACAGGCATGCACCACCATGCCTGGCTATTTTTGAAATATTTTATAGAGACAGGGTCTCTCTATGTTGCCCAGGTCTTGAACTCCCAGGCTCAAGCAGCCCTCTCCTCAACCTCCCAAAGTGTTGGGATTACAGGCGCAAGCCACCACCACACTCTGTCTTCATTCTTATCACACTATAGAGAAATCTCCCTTTTTTTTGTCCTATTATAATATTTGTTCCTTAAGGGGAAGAACTTTCTGTTGTTCACTGTGATAGCTCCAGAGCCTGGAATTGTGCCTGGCACATAATAGGAGTTGATAATTTTTCAATGAATGAATAAATAAAACAGGTGCATGTGAAACCCTTAAAACATCCTGGTGAGGCCTGGTCCTCAGCTTTGTAATCCAGAAAAGTCCTTTTTATTGGGTTACCTAGAGTTGTTCAGTGTCAAGGAAACAAAGTCAGTATCACCACAATAATAAGTTGATCTAGTAGCCAAGATACCAGAGTATGAGTCTTCATTCAGAATTTTATCTGGCACATAGACAAAAATGCTACTCTTCGCTATCAGCATGTTATCGCCCTTTAAAAATGTATCTGTGCATACAATTACTCATTAATTTAAAATTTTAAAAATTGTATTAGAAGCCAAACTACAATCTGGAGGCTTTCAGAGAAGGGTACTGGCAGCAGGGTGGAGTTGATAGCAGATGCGCATGTGGCAGTCAAAGCCTGTTTTCTGCTGTAAAGTGCTGGTGACTTGGGGAAGAAGGATCACTCTTCAGGTCTTCCTTTGCTGGGCTCCATGAAGTCCATCCTCTTTTACTACTCCAGTCCTTTAAGAGCTATTAGCACTAGAGATTCAGCTACAGCTTTCTTTCTTAATTACTTATTAATCGAAAAAATTTATATATTTATGAAGTACAATGTGATGTTTTGATATATGTATACATTGTAGAATAATTAAATCAAGCTAATAATGTATCCATCACTTGATATACTTACCTTTTTGTGGTGAGAACATTAAAAATCTACTCTCTCAGCAATTTTCAGATTGATATACATTGTTATTATAGTCACCATTGGGTACAATGGAATCCCAGAAATTATTCCTCCTGTCTAACTGAAACTTTATATCCTTTAACCAACATCATCCCATTCCTCATTTATCCCTCTTCCTGCAGACTCTGGTAACCACCATCCTAGTCTCCGCTTCTGTGAGTCTGTCTTTTTAAATATTCCACTAAAAAAAGGAATACTCAGTATAACTGAGATCATGCAGTATCTGGCTTTCTGTGCCTGGCTTATTTCACCTGACATAATGTCCTCCAGGGTCATCCATGTTTTCACCATGACAGGATTTTCTTCTTTTTTAAAGCCTAAGTAGTACTGCATTGTGTATATAATATATACCATATTTTTCTTATCTATTCATCATTTGTGGACACTTGGATTGATTCCATATCTTGGCTATTGTGAATAATGCTTCATTGAACATGGGTATGCACATCTCACGTCCTTTGGATATATGTACAGAAATAGAATTGTACAGCTCTCTTTTAAATCCAGTCAAAGTTGACTTGAATTTCCAGGAGCTATTCTTCCCACTGTTAAGGAAGGGATTCTAGCTGCTAAGCCACCTCATAAGATACTTAGAGAGAAATGAATCCGATAGGAAGAAATTAAGGAAAGTGAAGTATCAGTAATTCCGCCCAAACTGCAAGAGTTTTAATAAAATTTAACTTACTTCTGGGAAGAAAAGTGAAGCAAACTCTCTGTATAATTATTGAGAACACAACAGCATCACCAGAACTCCTATTTCTTTTTGATGTGCTTGTATCCTTTACTGCCAATTAAACCACATTACACAGAGACCTTTGGAAGTGTGGAAATGTCCTCTAATGGTAATACTTGCAAATAAATAATCATCCACTATATGTAGCCCTGTTTGCAAATTGCGGGGGCAATTTATAGCGACCCCGCCTAAGTTCTGCAAGCAAGGGCACTTTTACACACAGGGGTCCAGTTTTCTAAAACAAGTAGTGCAGCATATTCTATTTACATGCTGTTGTGAGCTGGCCTGAGAATCCAACTATTAGTTACAACATTGCTGCTATGGGAAAAATGCATTTCCACTTCCTAAGAGACTCACAGGCTCTTTTTAAAGAGACTCTGGAGAAATTATTGAGAAACATACTGAACACATGTCACAATATCATAGTAAAGAAGCCACAATAAGAACAATATTCTATTTGCAAAATACATATATTATTTCCTCTGAGTAGCAAAAGGCAGAAGTGTGCATAACTAATATTATAGATAAATAAGGAAAAGATTGCAGTTTCTCTGTTGTTTAGTAATTTTGTTTCTAATTTAGAATATATTAATACTTACCTTGAGCAGATTTTCTCTTTTCCTTTTGTTTATGTTTTAAGCCTAACAGTTATGCATCCTTAGAAAATACTATGTACACAGTATTTTTCTATCACTATACTACTCTGCAGAACAACATATTCTAGTTACAGCATCTTTTCTTATCATCTTAACTATTATTTCCATTTAATGCAATTAAACAAATACTTATAAAGATTCAACATACAGAAGACTCTTTGATAATAATGTGGAACTTAAAAAGTCTCTGCCAGCCAGGCATGGTGGCTCACGCCTGTAATCCCAACACTTTGGGAGGCCGAGGTGGGTAGATTGCAAGGTTAGGAGTTTAAGACCAGCCCAGACAAGATGGTGAAACCGTCTCTAATAAAAATACAGAAGACAATACAAAAAGTAGCCTGGCATGGTGGTGGATGCCTATAATCCCAGCTACTCAGGAGGCTGAGGCAGAGAATTGCTTGAACCCAGGAGGTGGAAGTTGCAGTGATGCAAGATCGCACCACTGCATTTGGGACTGGCTGACAGAGGAGACTCCATCTCAAAAAAAAAAAAAGTCTCTGCCTTCATAAAATTTACAGCCTTTTAAAGAAACACACATATACACACAATCAACACAGTTTATAAATTATATGATACAGGAAAAGCAAAAAGATAAGCATTGATTTCTGATTGAAGAATCAAGACAAGTTTCATAGAATGTCCTTGAAGTCAGGCCTAGAAGTAGAGGTTATATTTTAATGAAAGAAAATAAGGTGAAAAGTACATCAGTCTGAGGGAACACCATCAACTACAGCATGAGGAAAAGAAAGTGCAACAGTCTGTTAGCAGTTTTACTGGGAATATCATGGCGATGAAGCTGGAAGCTAAACAGAGGTCAGACAATAAAAATCCTTCAATGCCATGCCAAAAAAAAATTGGACTTCATTTCATTGAAATGAATTGGTGATTTGGTATGATCAAGTAAATCACTGCAATATTAATACAACCAAATGAGGTCTTATTAGAAATATAGATGTCAAATTACTAGTGATTCCGTTTTAAAAGGAAAGCAATAAACCCTTCAGAATGCGTGGGTTTTCAAATTTTGTTCTGATAATGCTGAAGGAAAAAAAGCAAAACAAGGAAATTATTTTTACTTTGGGTTGTTTCTTATGAGTGGATAATCTTAATGAGCATTAAATTATTCTCCAAATTTAGGTAATGCATCCATTTTCATAGTGGCAGATTTCCTCCATTGGCTATATCACAGAGTTTAATAGCAGGCAGTCTTTAATTTGTATGTTCATGTCCTTACTTCCTCCTGCCCCTTAAAAAAAAAAAAGTGGGTCCAGCTGCTTTAGAAGTTATTTTCTCATTTTTCTGCTTGCAGGTCACCCCTGGTTCAACTTGTGCTGTCTTTGGCCTAGGAGGTGTGGGTCTTTCTGCTGTAATTGGTTGTAAAATGGCAGGAGCTTCCAGGATCATAGGTGTTGACATCAACAGTGAGAAGTTTGCAAAGGCTAAAGCCCTGGGAGCCACTGAATGCCTCAATCCTAGAGACCTACATAAACCTGTCCAGGAGGTTATCACTGAATTGACCAAGGGAGGTGTGGATTTCGCCCTTGATTGTGCTGGTGGATCTGAAAGCATGGTATGCATATTTTTTTCTTGGATCATATTTTCAATTTATTCTTTAACTGTAAAATAATAGGGGAAAGTGATTATGTTTATTATGGTAACTATAATCATTCCTTCTTAATATTTTCAAGTTGATGATGGGGAAGAAAACTGTAAGCCACCAGTCATTTGCCACTCCCTCAGCTATACTCCATTTCTTTCATTGCTCATGACTATGTCCCCCCAAATGCCAGTAATATCTTGGTGAGTTCAGTCTTCTCTTGTGATAAGAAGACATACCAGCATTATTTATAGATGTTGATTTTTCTTTTGAGATCCCTTTAAAAAGCTCAATATTATTTGTTTGGAAATAATATTTTTTCATTTTGTTTTCCATGATAATTCCAATATCTGTTTCTTGGAGACAATTTTTGGGGTTTCTTCATTTTTAATTAACAAGAGAAATGTTCCTTTTGACTTTTAAATCAGATAAAATACGAAGTGCATTAACTAAGTGACATTCTTTAGCAAAAGATATAAAGGAATTAATTAACCAGCTGCAATAAATAAAACTTTTTCTAAACAAAAGCTAACATAAATAGGAATAAACACCTGTTTTGCTTAGCTATCTTATACATTATATACATGTTATTAATATTAATATTTGTTAATAATGTCATATATCTTTTATATAACAGTATAATATTTAAAATTAATAAACAATATGTGCATGTATTGATATATTTAATATTAACACATTTATAGATGATAAACAACATTTGTTAATACTTAGCACACATTATATAATAATCTATTAAAGGTAATGTTTATTAATGTATAACTATTTCTATTAGTCCTTAATATTAATGTTATTAATATTTGTTCATTATTCTATACGAAATTCAGCAAAAATAAAAAGAAAACTTAGAAATGAACATTTTAAAAGAATTGTGCTTAATGAGAAGTGAGCCCTCCCCCCACAGAAAAAAAATAGAAAAGGCAGATTCAGAGGAAGAAATAAGAGAGGGTGACTGATGCTTCTTAACAGCTACAACACATATGCTCCCATATTAAAGTAGAACAGGGAGAGGCTAGCAACCTGAAAACAACCCAGCTCTGTCCATCACAGCTCAATAAATAGGCTGTACAATTAGGTCCAAATTATACATTTGAAATTTTCTATATTTCAAAAAATAACACACCACAAAATTTAAATCATCTTTTTTTCCTGAACACTACAATGTTGTATCATTCAGATGTATTCTCAACTCAGGACAGGCTACAGAGCACTCAGCGACTGCACTGGTTGCACACCTGTGAAGCTGGCCTGTCTATTCCACTCTGAAAAGTGGGTTAAAGAGCCAACCACAACATACAGGCAATATACTAAAAAGTCACCTTGCTGGAGTGTCCAGCCTTATTCTTCAGAGTATCAGCAAATAATCACCTAATGTGTATTTACTCAAAGACACTAAGCAGAGTTTGGGAGTTTTGTTTTTTGTTTGTTTGCTTTTGTTTTAAATGAAATGACCAAAGAATTTATCAATTGAATTATCTGCCTGTAGATTCTTCTTATTTCATTAGTGAGTGCCATGAAGTACTTGTGATGTTATTTCTTTTACTGGTAACTTCACTCAGCCTAGCTCCCAAGCCCTCCTCTAGGCAAGATATAAAGCATAAAATTCTATACTTCCCAGAAGTAAGTTTTGTGCTGGTTCTTCCCCCTTGGTTCTTACATGACTGGTATATTCCCCATAAGAAAATAAGACCCAAGAAGACCTATGGTGAGAGCCACAGGCTGCTATTCCTGTCATTCTTCTCTGATTATAATTTATCTTCTTTTCATTATAATATATGCAAACTGCTTAAAACAGTATTTTGCAGGTACTAAGCACACAATAAACATTAGATATTATCAAAAATGCATGCATTAAGGGCTCCTGATCTGGTACTGCTCACTTGTGTTCAAGGCCTCAGGCCCTGCTTTTGAATTGACATTGGTATCTGCAGTCTGCAGCATACTGCATCCATCACTCCACTTCCCATGGCTCTTTTTTGCACAAACACTAAAATTTAGCCTATTAACCTTATTTTTCTTGTACAGAGATTCTCAACACTAGCTATATGCTAGAATTTCCTGAGGGGTTTATTGTTTCACTGCTTTTTTAATACCAACAAATGGGCCATACCCAGGATATTCTTGTGTGTTGGGGACCCACTGACAACATCTTTAAAATTAATTTCTCAAGTTGAAAACCACTGACTTAAAAGTTAACATATTCTATTATTAAACTGACTTATTATACCATGAAAGCTATTTTCAATTATGGAACAGAATTATATTAGAGAATCCAGATGGAAAGAGAAGGATTTATTTAATCGCCAAAAGATGAGTTACCTACACTCCCACCAAAAGTTTCTACAACTAGGAAAAGCTATATTTCTAGGTTACAGTGCAGATTTCAATAATGGGTATGAACTTGATTTCCATGACCTCTAACCCTCTAAACCAAGGGTCAATACCCTGTAACTTACCAGCACAAGGATTATTTGCTAACACCTGCTAAGGACTCTTTTAAGGAGCTGGAGGTAGTGATACTGGAGTTTATGACCTGACTTGAAGCTGTAGGAAGATTTTATAACCTTGCAGTGATTAATTTTTATAATTTTGATAAGCCCCAGCAATAATTCAGAGACTTAATTCAGAATTTAATTTTGAAAGTGTTTGTTAAAAATGTTAAAGACCTAAAAACATTTGATTAAAATGGAACCATAGGTCATTGTAAAACAATACTTATTTAGCCAAATAAATCATCAAAAGACTTTAAAGGCAATACATAAGGATATATGGATGTAAAAACCTAACCCGGTTAGATCTCAGTTTTTACAAGCAATTAAAACCCTAATAAAGACAACATCAGAATTATTTTGATAAAATGCAAAATGTTGTTTCTTGAGTCAGTTAACAGAAAGGGAAAGAAAAACCTGCAGTGTGACTGTTTTTCCTTATGGGAAGCCCATTTCAATAAACCTGATGGAAAAGTACTTGAATTTAATCAGACATAAAAAAAAGTGTGTTTAGGATTATGTGTACAGTAGGAGAATACATAATTCTTAGTAACTGCATGAGAAATTTTCTGATTGCATTGAAAAATTTAAACATATGAAGAAAAGCAAAGAGTACAGAATCAAGTTGTAGAGGAAAACATTCACCTCTAGACCTTTAAGATAAAACATTTTAGTATCAGGCCATAAGAATAGTAAGAACTGGAGGAAAAACTTACAAGAGTTAATAAAAAAGCTAAAGGAGAGAGTTATTTCAGTCCACGGGGAAACAAAGCTGAAAGCAGAGAGACATAGCAAAAGTTGAACTTCTGACATATGATTGTGAGAAGTTTTCAAAAGAAACAAATTATAAAATTAAAAGTTAAGTTTTTTAAATTTTATTAAGAGCAAATCGATACTGTAAAGAGACTTTGTTTTAATGTAGGGAAATAATCTTAGACTATTCTAAATAATCTTTTAATTACAGCAAATTAAATTATATACAAATTTTTTTTAATAAATTCCTCTTCATGAACCTTATTATGACTCACACACACCAACTATGACATGCTTGGCCTTTTGACTTATTCTAATTTTTTTTAATAATCAGTCATTTTATTTTAGGACAAGATTTTACCATAAGATCCTTTTTATATGAAATTATTCTGTTTTTAGTAACCCTTTTATTAAATATATTTTTTATATTGATAACTTTCTTTTTTTTTTTTGAGACGGAGTTTCACTCTTGTTACCCAGGTTGGAGTGCAATGGCGCGATCTAGGCTCACCGCAACCTCCACCTCCTGGGTTCAGGCAATTCTCCTGCCTCAGCCTCCTGAGTAGCTGGGATTACAGGCACATGCCACCATGCCCAGCTAATTTTTTGTATTTTTAGTAGAGATGGGGTTTCACCATGTTGACCAGGATGGTCTCAATCCCTTGACTTCGTGATCCACCCACCTCGGCCTCCCAAAGTGCTGGGATTACAGGCATGAGCCACCATGCCCAGCTCGATAACTTTCTTTATATTTCTCTCCTCTTATTCTTTTTTATCTTTTTAAATAAATAACTTAAAAATAATCTACAAATTACATAAAATTATTTTTTAATAAGAATACAGGCCAGGCACAGTGGCTCACGCCTGTAATCCCAGCATTTTGGGAAGCTGAGGTGGGCAGAGCAGCCTGGGCAACACGGCAAAATCCCACCTCTACTAAAAGCACAAAAATTAGGCAGGTGTAATGGAACACGCCTGTAGTCCCAGCTACTTGGGAGGGTGATATGGAAGAATCACTTAAGCCCAGGAAGTTGAGGCTGCAGTGAGACATGATTATCCAACTGCACTCTAGCCTGAACGACAGAGTAAGACTGACTCAAAAAACAGGGAGAATACAATTATATATTTATACGTGAATTAGCATTCTTATTCCTAGTAACCTTAAATTTTCATGGAACCTTAGAAAGCAAGAAATCCTGAACTGTTAGATGTAAGCATTTTATAGATGAAATCATTTCACAATTTTAGAAATATGTTTTCCTATATCATAATTTTTGTAATTGGAAATGACTCAGACATCCAGCATTTATTATTTAATTTAAAGTAATTTTTGGATTTTTTATTACACAAAAAGTCCACTTATAAGCGTTTATTTCATTTGCATATACTTTAAAATTTTTAACAGTTATCTAGATAACTTTTGAAAATTGAGATATTATGCAGAACTAGTCGTTAAAGTTATTTCTTTGTTAACTTTTTTTTTTGAGACAAAGTCTCCCTCTGCCACCCACTGGAGCACAGTGGCACAACCCCGGCTCACTGCAACCTCCCCCTCTTGGCTCAAATAATTTTCCTGCCTCAGCCTCCTGAGTAGCTAGAACTACAAGCATACACCATGGCTACATTTTTGTATTTTTAGTAAAGACGGGGTTTCACCATGTTGGCCAGGCTGGTCTCAAACTCCTGACCTCAAGTCATCTACCCGCCTTGGCCTCCCAAAGTGGTGGTATTACAGGAGCAAGCCACCATGCCTGACCCTTGTTAACTATTTTTAAAGTCTGAACATCAGGTGAAAACCTAAGTGAGAACCTTAAGGTTAAATACATAGGTATTTTTCTGATAAATTAGGTGATTTAGCTCCTGTTATTGACCTAACAATTTTAAATCAGTCTTATTTGTCAAAGAAAAAAAAAAGTCACACAAAGATAGATTACTATGTTTTTGGCTGGGTTTACAGTCTCACAACTTTTGTGCCAAACCCTGACACTTTAAATATCTAGCAGAGGCAAATATTAAACTTACTGACTTACACACAAATGTATGCTGATTTGGGAGACATCTTTATTTTTATTTTACTCATTTTTTTTTTTGAGACAGAGTCTCACTTTGTCACCCATGCTGGAGTGCAGTGGCATGATCTCAGCTCACTGCAACCTCCGTCTCCTGGATTCAGGCAATTTCCCAGCCTCAGTTTATTGAGTAGCTGAGACTATAGGCTGGCACCAACACACCCAGCAGCTAATTTTTGTATTTTTAGTAGAGATGGGGTTTCACCATGTTGGCCAGGCTGGTCTTGAACTCCTGGCCTGAAGTGAACTGCCCACGTTGGCCTCCCAAAGTCCTGGGATTACAGACATGAGTCACCTGCACCAAGACTGTGCTGAACATTCTACCTGTAATGGCACACTGGACTCTCAAGGCTCAATCTACAATGATACTATGATGTCATTAGCTTGAATCCCATTATCTTACACAGAGAGTTGGATTATTTTTTTCCAAAGCATTGTATATTCCCACACTGGAGTTTATATTCTACTTTTCCACTGACTGAAGTAGTCTTTTGTGTTTTATCTTACAGAAAGCAGCCCTGGACTGTACAACTGCGGGCTGGGGATCATGTACTTTCGTTGGGGTAGCTCCTGGTAACAAAGGATTGACTCTTTTTCCAGAGACGCTAATAATCGGCCGTACTATAAATGGAACATTCTTTGGTGGTCAGTTTTTTTCTTCATTGCTTTAAGTTTTCTTCACAGTGGTACTGAAATTCTTAGAGTGAAGATTATTGAAAGGAAATAAAAATAATTTATTCAAACATTGAGTGCCTAGAGCATATCCAAAGACTATATAAAAACTACTAATTACTTATAAGTAAAGAATTTATATAAAAAGGTAACTAATTTGCAAATTGAAATTTAACTTGGATTTGAATGAAACAATATAAAGAAGCAAAAAGTAAACATTGACCTAATTGAGGTAATTTCTTATCCAGAGCAGAAAATAATCTTGAATTTTTCTTATAAAAAATATTTTTAAATAGACATAAGTACAGAAAATTAAAGATGGAAGGAGTTTAATCTATTTGAAGCAACCCAAATCTGACATAATAATTTCATTTGTTCAGAAAATGCTGCCTAAACTACTTTGTGTCAAGTGCCATGTCTTTATTTTGCATTTTGTCTACATTACAGGTTGGAAAAGTGATTCTATCCCAAAGCTGGTCACCGACTATAAAAATAAGAAATTCGATCTGGATGCATTGGTGACCCACACCCTGCCTTTTGACAAACTCAGTGAGGCATTTGACCTAATGAACCAAGGAAAAAGGTACATTACCAACAGATAATTGAATGGTTTAAAAAATGTTTACAATGATTCTATTTTTATTTGACATTAAAAACTAACCAGCTTGTTTTTTCTAACATTTTCTACATCCCAGGTACTAGATGTGTTTAAAAGATTAAATAGCGGCCATTTTGTGGCAAATGGAGGGGAAGGGGGAACTTCCATTTTAATAATGCACATCTGTACACTGTTTCAATATAGAATCGTGGTATAAATTGATACATATTTCCCTTACACAAACCATTGACTCAGTTGGGGCTGCTCCCTAGAAAGAGAGGTTTCTGTACAGTATAATGTTTGATACCTGTCATTGTGCCCCTGAGTTGGGCACCACTGTGTTCTTCAGTTTGACACAGAGTCTCTATCCCAGACCCTTCACAATCAGAATGAGGTGAAAACCATGGCTACGTGAGCAGAGAGTGGCAAGGATCAGACATGTAAAGGATGCCCCAGCTGTCTCATTCTCTTGCTTTGTCATGGAGTTCCTATAAGATACCTTCTGATCCACTATTTTAGTTATATAGAGCTCCCATGTCAGGAATCCCAGGAACTGATGTATAGAAATGTTCCACCTGGAAGATTCCTAGGGGTTGAGGGATTGTAATACTAGGGTCAACGATTTCAGGTAAAATGTTCAAGCACAACCTTGATCAATAGAAAGAAAGCCAAAAACATTAGGAACAGTGTTACATAGAGTAGATGCAGGACAAAGAAGAAATGAAAAGAGAAGACACAACAAAAGAGAGGAGGAAAAGGCTAAAGTAAAATTAAAATGACTGGGATTTGGGCTGGGCGTGGTGGCTCATGCCTGTAATTCCAGCACTTTGAAAGGCCAAGGCAGGTGGACCACCTGAGGTCAGAAGTTCGAGACCAGCCTAGCCAACATGGTGAAACCCCATCTCTACTAAAAATACAAAATGGTGGTACATTCCCGTAATCCCAGCTACTCAGGAGGCTGAGGCAGGAGAACCTGGGAGGCAGAGACTGTGGTGAGTCAAGATAGCACCATTGCACTCTAGCCTGAGCAACAAAAACAAAACTCCATCTCAAAAAAAAAAGAAATTGAAGCAGGGAATAAATGTTGCAGAAAAAGAAGATAGTTTCATGGTATGAGGATGCAGACTACTTCTTGGGGAAGAAACCTGAGGAAATATCCCCACTGACACTAACTCCCCAGTTTGCAAATGTGTTAGTCACAACATATCAAAAGGAAATTCAATAAAAAGAAAAGAAAATATAAGCATTATTTTTTAAGCTACACCATGTAAACTTAGTATATAAGCCCTGCAATATTTTATATAATCTCAATATCCCCATAAAGAATACTCCTCAAGTTAGAAGTTAAAAGTTGGATTGGGGTTTGAGGCCTTATGCCCTTGTACTCATATCTTCTAACAGAAACCTTTTCTCCTAGAGTTCTCAATTATGGAATACACCCATAAGGAATGCTAAGTGTCAGCCAGGTGGAAAATGCTACATTACTTTATGGGCAAGTCTCCCATATTCTCCAAGGAGGCTTCCTAGGAGTAGTAATCAGCCTGGTAATCAGCCTAGGAGTAGACACCAGAGTGAGGCCTCCTGCTCCTTCTCTGGCCCACTGAGAATACCACCTGACTGCCCATACAGATGGAAATGTGGTACTGGGGGAGGCAGAGGTTGGGCCTCCTCAGGTGTGTCCAACATGTGGGCACAGGAAGCACAAAAGAGGGCAGGCCCTCCTACTATCCAACTGCAAAGAAGCAAGGGAATGGAGGGAAGAGGATAAAATACAATGACCGAGTGGCCTGTTGCGGTGCAGTGATCCTGCCCCAGAGTGAGGACAGTATACAGAGGTTCTCCTTCCACAGGTGGAGGTAGTTTCCAGTCCTGGGTGAAGAAAACATGTATGCATAGCACCCTGCTAATAGCAGGGATTCCACAGCTTCAGCAGTAATGTCTGAGATAAGGACTGCTCTGTCCTTGAGGCTTATCCCCCTCTTTGTGTCTACATATTGGAGTTATCCAGGAATAAACATAAGGGTTCCCAAAAAGTGGCATCCCACCACACCAGCTTTCATGCCCACTCCCTCTTTCGATGCTCAACTTTGCCCTCAGCTATAGAAGATCCAAGAACAGTAACTATTCCAAAACTAAAACCTTATTCCCTCCTTGGTACATTCTAATTTTCCTCAACAGCACCAATGAGCAACAAGGACACTGTCTAACGTGAGTGAGGGTCCTCACTTTCCCCCCAGTTTACTAGCACATGCATAAAGTACTGTTAACACCATGAATGAAAGAGGATGATGGGATAAAAGAAATTAGGCTTAATACTTAGATGTCTAGAAAGGAAGACAAGATCCTGAAATGAAAAAGCAAAACTTACTTGTGAGCTTTGGTTAAATTTATAATGAAAATTATATTTATTAATGTTTTATTGTTATTAATAGCATCCGAACAATCCTGATCTTTTGAAGATCCCAAGAGCAACTTGGATACTGTCTGATTGAATGTGAGCCTGTCTGGTTAATTTATTACCTGACTTGATGAACCAAGGAAAGCCATGAGTTTAAACAAATATTTACATTTCATATGGCAACAAAAAAGAGCTTTAATTATTATAGCCTTTGTACCCATTACATGTTAATATTACCTATGTTAAATAATAATGATAACTAGTGTTTATTAGTAGAATCATATGATCTTTAGAAATTGTTCAAAATTAATTCTGGGAAGGTGAATGTGGGGATTGAAGAGATAATAAAACTAGATTGGCCATATGTTTATAATTTTTTTAGATTGGGTAATTAATACATGGAGTTTCATTATACTTTTCTCTCCACTTTTGTCTATGTTGAAAATTTTCTGGGAGCTAAATGATGAGAACACATGGACACATGAAGGGGAACAACACACACTGGGGCCTATTGAGGTTGGGGACTTGGGGAGAGAGCATCAGGAAGAAGAGCTAATGGATGCTGGGCTTCATACCTGGGTGATGAGATGATCTGTGCAGCAAACCACCATGGCACATGTTTATCTATTGTAACAAACCTGCACATCCTGCACATGTATCCTAGAACTTAAGAAAAGTTGGAAATTTAAAAAAAGAATGAATAAGATCTAGTATTTGATAGCACAACAGGGAGACTATAGTCAATGGTAATTTAATTGTTTATTTTAATATGACTAAAAGAGTATAATGAATTGTTTGTATACAAAGGATAAATGCTTGAGGGGATGGACACCCCATTTTACATGATGTGATTATTAAATATTGCGTACCTATTTAAAACATCTCATGTACCCCATAAATATGTACACCTACTAATATCCACAAAAATTAAAATAAAAAATTTTTAAAATAAAAATAAAGAAAAAATCTACAATAAGATTTTTACTTGAAAAAATCGCTATATTTCATATATATATGTACATATATACACTACATATAAGAAATATATATAGTAATTTTTGTGATCATGTTTGTATATATATATATGTTAAAATATACACACATATACACATATATATACATAAAACACTATTACATAATTTGTGCTCCAATAAGCCAAAAGCTACTTTTTAAAAATAAGTTGCTAAATAATTTTCTTTTTAACGTCTGTTAATTTCTTTTCTCTTAGCCCCACTCTATCATTAACTGCAATCCTATGTAAGGAGATATCAGAACCTAGTTAAGTGAATATATTTTTTTACCATGAATATTTCACACAATGGATGTTTTATTATTTATATTATTGATTTTTTTAAAGTCAGCGATCCTCAGAATCGAGCACCTTCCATTCCATTTGACAGAGGTGAGCTGTCTGGTATATTGCTGTGAGCACTTCTGGCACCTGATTTTCCTTCAGTTTGCTGTCTTAGATAAGCCATACGGCATGTTTGATGAAAGGGTTGATTTTAAAGAAGGTCGTCCCCGTTTCGACTTCTGCCTATCCTCGTCCCTCTTTTCATCCTTTTCACTATCTTCTTTATTTTTAGCTTTTTTCTTTGGTCCACCTTTGTCCAAAGGCCAGATTATTCTGTCAGCCTTCACCCACTCATCATACCTGACATTCCCTCCATAGTAATGTACCAAATATAAACTTCTCTGTCATCAATTTCAGTGCTTTTAATACTGGCTTCATAATTCTGAGTCTTCCCTCGTCCTTATTGTACTTTCACTTTGGTTCCTGTTAGGCAGGGTTCCATGTCTTCCTTATCTTCCTCTCCTTCAGAGTCACACTTGCTTTCAGTTTCTTCCCTCTCTTGGCTTTTCTCTTACTCTTCATCTGTGTCTTTGTCAGAATCCTCCCATTTTTTAATTTTCTTCTCTTTTTGCTTTAGTGTATTTTTTCTCCCCAGTAGTAGCTCATTTGCTTTTTTCTCTGCAGTTTCATAGTCATCATCTACATCCTTATTTTCTGTATCATTATCTTTTGTCTTCTGTTTTCTCTTCTTCAATTTCCTTTTTAATAGAATTTACATCTCAAGTAATTCTTCTTTGTCCCCTTGGAGACTTTAATTCTATCTCTTTTCTTTTGCTTTCACTGTCCGAATCAATATTTTCCTCAGGTTCACTCTTCACTTCTGTTAAACGCATTTCTTAATTTAATTTGAGAGCCTCTTCCATTGATTCTTCTAAGTCTTTTCTTCCTCTTTTACTTTTGGTTCATGGTGATGAATTGGTCTGAATTGAATATCTGCTGAACGGCAGTACTCCTCAAAACCATACAGATACTTTCTATAAGCAGTTTTTACGTTGTAGGAAGCAGCTGAATTCAAAATAGGAATGCCAAGGTCCATATAAATTTGCTTCCATACAGCACCACTATCAATATTGTCATATCCACCCTGATGATAAACCAGTCTGAACAGTTTGAAGAGACTGAGATCTTTATAGCCCAAAACAGGTGGCTTGTTGATTGGAGTACCTCTGTCTTCCATAAACTTATAAAGCTGCTGGAGGAAGTTGTCCCTCTCTTCAGGATCAAGTTCTTCCTCAGGAATTTACTATTTTATAACCACCCTCTGCAACTTTCTACAAAGCCCTTTTTACAAAGTGAATATTTTAAAAAGAAAAAAAGCATCTCTATACTCTCACATTTCTATCTCTATAAAATAACTGCCCTTTTGTCTTTGATAATTTTTTTCTTCAACTTCTATTTTAAGTTCTGGGGTATGCGTGCAGGATGTGCAGGTTTGTTACATAGATAAATGTGTCCCATGGTGGTTTCCTGCACAGATCAACACATCACTTATGTATTAAGCCCAGAATTCATTAGCTATTCTTCCTGATGCTCTCCCTGCCCCTGCCCGCCTCAACAGGCCCAGTGTGTGTTGTTTCCCTCCATGTGTCCATGTATTTTCATTGTTCAGTTCCCACTTACAAATGAGAACATGTGATATTTGTTTTTCTGTCCCTGCGTTAGTCTGCTGAGGATAAGGACTTCCAGCTCCATCCATGTCCCTGCAAATGACATGATTTTCTTCCTTTTTATGGCTGCATAGTATTCCATAGTGCATATGTACTACATTTTCTTTATCCAGTCTATTATTGATGGGCATTTGGGTTTATTCCATGTCTTTGCTATTGTGAATGGTGCTGTGATAAACATACACGTGCATGTATCTTTATAACAGAATAATTTATATTCTTTTGGAGATATACTTGGTAATGGGATTGCTGATTCAAATGATATTTCTGCCTCTAGATCTTTGATGAATCACCACCCTGTCTTCCTAATTTAAATTCCCACCAACAGTGTAAAAGTGTTCCTTTTTTGCTACAAACTCACCAGCATCTGTTGTTTCTTGACTTTTTAATAATCACCCATTCTGACTGGCATGAGATGGTATCTCATTGTGGTTTTGATTTGCATTTCTCTAATCATCAGTGATCTTTGATAATTTTTACAACACATAATGTTGAGCTTAATGATCTGTAATTGGCACTAATTAATGCTATTGATCTGCAACTGGCACTAATTAATGCTATTTTCAATAGTCAAGTAAAAGTGACAAAAATTGAAATCCTTAAAATAATGTAGTAAGTAAACATTTATAGTTATAAGATTTAACAAATAAAAAGATTTATATAAAAATTGCAAATGGGAGGTTTCAAATTATTATACTCATAGATGTTACAACAAACAGTTTAAAAGAAACCATTGTCTCAGCCCAAAATCTCAAGCTCATAAGAAACTTCAGCAAAGTCTCAGGATACAAAATCAATGTGCAAAAATCACAAGCATTCCTATACACCAATAACAGACTAACAGAGAGCCAAATCATGAGCAAACTCCTATTCACAATTGCTACAAAGAGAATAAAATACCTACAAATACAACTAACAAGGAATGTGAAGGACCTCTTCAAGGAGAACTACAAACCACTGCTCAAGGAAATATGAGAGGACACAAACAGCTGAAAAAACATTTCATGCTCAAGGTTAGGAAGAATCAATATCATGAAAATGGCCATACTGCCCAAAGTAATTCATAGATTCAACAGTATACCCATCAAGCTACCAATCACCTTATTCATAGAACTGGGAAAAAAAAACACCTTATACTTCAAATGGAACCAAAACAGAGCCCACAGCCTTGGAAGCAACACCACACATCTACAACCATCTGATCTTTGACAAACCTGACAAAAACAAGCAATGGGGAAAGGATTCCCTGTTTCATAAATGGTGTTGGGAAAACTGGCTAGCCATGTACAGAAAGCTGAAACTGGATCCCTTCCTTACACTTTATACAAAAATTAACTCCAGGTGGATTAAAGACGTAAACATAAGTCCTAACACCATAAAACCCTTGACAAAAACCTAAGCAATACCATTCAGGACATAAGCATAGGCAAGGACTTCATGACTAAAATACCAAAAACAATGGCAACAAAAACCAAAATAGGCAAATCGGATCTAATTAAACTTAAGATCTTCTGCACAGCAAAAGAAACAGTCATTAGAATGAACTGGCAACTAACAGAGTGAGAAAAAATTTTTGCAATCTAGCCATCTGACAAAGGGCTAATATCCAGAATCTACAAAGAACTTAAACAAATTTACAAGAAAAAACAACATAAAAGAAGTGGGTGAAGGATATGAACAGACACTTCTCAAAAGAAGACATTTATGCACCCAACAAACATATGAAAAAAAGCTCATCATCACTAGTCATGAGAAAAACACAAATCAAAACCACATTGAAATACCATCTCATGAAAATTAGAATGGCGATCATTAAATAATCTGGAGACAATAGATGCTGGAGAGGATGTGAAGAAATAGGAACACTTTTACACTGTTGGTAGGAGTGTAAATTAGTTCAACCATTGTGAAAGACAGTGTGGCAATTTCTCAAGGATCTAGAAATAATAAATACCATTTGACCCAGCAATCTCATTATGGGATATATACCCAAATGATTATAAATCATTCTATTATAAAGATACGTACACACGTATGTTCATTGTGGTACTGTTTACAATAGCAAAGACTTGGAACTAACCCAAATGCCCATCAAAGATAGACTGGATAAAGAAAATGTGGATCAGATACACCATGGAATACTATGCAGCCATAAAAATGGATGAGTTCATGTCCTTTGCAGGGACATGGATGAAGCTGGAAACCATCATTCTCAGTAAACTGACACAAGAACAGAAAACCAAACACTGCATGTTGTCACTCATAAGTGGGAGTTGAACAATGAGAACACATGGACACAGGGAGGGGAACATCACATACTGGGGCCTCTTGAATGGTGTAGAGGGAGGTGGGGGGATTGGGGAGGAATAACATTAGGAGAGATATCTAATGTAAATGATGGTGGGATGGATGCAGCAAACCTATGTATGCGTCTACCTATGTAACAATTCTGCAGGACCTGCACATGTACCCCAGAACTTAAAGTATAATTTTAAAAAATAAAAAAAAATTTCAAAAGATAAGATAGACCCTAAAGGCCCATCAATGATAGACTGGATAAAGAAAATGTGGTACATATACACCATGGAATACTATGCAGCCATAAAAAGGAATGAGATAATGTCCTTGCAGGGACATGGATGCAGCTGGAAGCCATTAATCTCAGCAAACTGATGCAAGCACAGAAAAACAAACACCACATGTTCTAGCTTATAAGTGGGAGCTGTACTGTGAGAATACATGGACATATGGTGGGGAACAGCACACACTAGGGTCTCTACAGGGGCAAGAGGGAGAGTAGCAGGAAGAATAACTAATGGA